ATCTATTAAAATCATCATCAAGAAAAATAATTATTTCGTACGACACCACGTTCACATTATGTGATAGTTATGTATCATCGTTAATATATCGACACGACAATTTTGCAAATGAACCATGTGTGCCATTAGCATTTATGATCCATGAATCAAAGAATCAAATAACCCACGACTATTTGACCACTATATTGAAAGAATATTGTCCGTTAATTAACATCAAATGTTTACTCGTGTCAGATGCAGAAAAGTCGTTCAAGAACTCGTTCAACGAAAAATTTCCAGGAATGATACAAGTTAGATGTTGGCTACACCTGTTCAGAAACGTCTACAAACATGTTATTCGTGGACAGAAGAAAAAGAAGAAAAATGACGCCAATACAGTCAATAATGAAGGTAAGCAGGTTCATATAAAACACTTATTAAGCCCTGAACAAAATGCTTCAGCCGAATAAACAATCAATTTGATTTCACACGTTCGAAGTCATCGGACGAAGTGAAGTTTGATAATAAACGAGGCTTTCAGCTAAGGCACTAGATAAAACTCGTATTTTAGCAACTAATTTTACTGTAGCTGGTGAAGTGGAATTACTGGATGATGATCTGGAAGTTGACGAGGATAATGTATTTTATGATGACGAATTCGATAGCGTCAAGTTCTCGCGAAGAGACGCCAATTTCTGCAGGATAAAAGATATAGTTCTCGTGAAGAAACTCCAAGTTCTACAGGAGAAAAGATGATGTTCCCTTGAAAACACTCCAAGTTTTTGAAGAAAAAGGATGGAGTTCTCCTGACGAAACTCCAAGTTCTTCAGATAAAAAGATGAAGTTTTCTTGAAGAAAGTCTAAGCTCTTCATTAACTCCAAGTTCTTCGCGGAAAAAGATGAACTGCTCGTGAAGAGACTCCAAGTTCCCGAGATAAAAAGATGAAGACCACGTGAAGAAACTCCAAGTTCTACAGGAGAAAAGATGATGTCCTCAAAGTTTTTGAGGAAAAAGGATGGAGTTCTCCTGACGAAACTCCAAATTCTTCAGATAAAAAGATGAAGTTTTCTTGAAGAAAGTCTAAGTTCTTCAGGAACTCCACGTTCTTGAGCGAAAAAGTTGAAGGTCTCGTGAAGAGACACTAAGTTCTTGAAGTAAAAAGAAGTTGTTCTCGTTGAGAGACTCCACGTTCTTGAGGAAAAAGGATGTAGTTCTCATAAAGAAACTGCAAGTTTTGATGCGAGAAATCTGTGTTATTGATTTTAGAACTATTGTCCAATAGGACCAGACAGGTGGCCATATTGACAGTAACCGATCTGGCTGAGATTTTGACCATACTGTATGTAGTGGACATCAAGGCTAGGTTGTGAAAAAATTTGAGCTCTCGAAACTCTTCCCTTCAAAAGTTATGCGTGTCGCAAGTGAACACGGCGGGACCTGTGAAAACGTGATGTTTTCGCAAAAAATTGGTGTCCTTTGAAAGGGAAAGTTCGCAAGAGTTGAAAATTTCAGAGACTATTCCAAGTTAGATAGGTTATCCACATGCAAAATATCTGAGCCAAAGACTTTTCCTTCAATTGACAGGGATTTTAATCCAAACTACTCTTTCTCGAAAAGTCTCTCGTTTTCTCTCTGCTTTGAAAAGCTTTGACGCCGAAACCTAGTGGTCTGAAGCAGTATTTGATGCTGATACCGATTCTCGCTTCAAAAATCTTGAGAAACAAGAAAGAGTTCTCCAGACGGTCTCCAGAAACCTCCCAGAGATCCCACAGGGTCTTGATCAAACTAACAGTGTCATCTTGATCAGCACACTTTGTCACCTAGTCGAACATGCCTGTATCGGATTTCAAAGCTCAAGTAAACTCTCTGACAAAATACAAGGCCCCCTAATATAACTCACCCTCCTTAACACAAGACCCCTTTTGAAAACAAAATGTCAGCTTGGAAATTTCTTCGACCAGCAAAAAGAAAAGTTTTGGACATTGTTCATTGGACAAAATAGAAGACCCGGGGTCTTCTATTCTTGGGATGGGTGGGGTTATGGCGTGAGAACGTAATCGTACTTTATGTACAGCATCGCAGTCCGAAGAAAGTGCGGTTATTTGTCCTCGACAGACTAGAGACCTGAAATTCGGTAAAGTCATGTCCAAATAGATAACAAAGTGTGCTGATCACGATGAAAGTGTTAGTTTGCTCAAAACCTCAGATGATCTTTGGGAAGTTTTCTGGAGACCCTCTGGAGAACCCTTTCTTGTTTAGCAAGCTTCGGAACCAGCATCAGAAAATGTTCTAGACCCATTAGCTTTCAACTTCGAAATCTTAAAGGGAAGAGAGAAAACGAGGAAGCCCTCGAGAAAGAGGACTTTTGACCAACATGTCTGCCAAAATTGAAGAAGAAAAAAGGTTTTTGGCCGAGATAATTTGCGTGTGGATAGCCTACTAACTAGGAACAGTTTCCGAAAGCTTCACCTGTTTACGACTTGCCCTTCAAAAGGGAAACGGTTTTTTAGTGAAAACATCCAGTTTTTAAAGGTGCCCACCCTGTTCACTTGCGAAATCATAACGTCTGAAGAGAAGGGTTTCAAGACTTCAAATTTTCTTCAAAACCTAGCCTTGGTGTCTGCTACATATGGCGAAACTTTCAGCCAAATCGGTTACTGTCAGTATGGCCATCTGCCTTACGCTGCTTCACTTTCTCAGAAAATGGCTCTTAATACAAGGCATGTCTGAGTAGAAACGTTTTTTTTTAGCCACATAGATGTTCTCAGCCGCATACAACCACATTCAGTTGCCTCGTATTCTTTTACTTTTTTTTTAGAAGAAACGATTTTGTACAGTTTTATATCTTATTAAGCAGGGCTTCGGCCGGACAAAAAGCAAATCGTTCAATGAAAAGGCGACTCTGTTCCTTGGTCTTAGGTAACAGATGGCCTCTTTCTTTTTTTTCTAAAATTTTAATTTTTTTAATATTAGTTGCTAGGCTATAGTTTTTAAACAAATGACAGTTACATGAGAACACATGTGCGTACACAAGGAAATTGTAAATCTCACAGCTCTTTTGACTGATAATATGTTTATAGCAATCTTTCATCTGCTTTTATCCTTCTTCTATTACTATTATTTCACTAACCTTTGTCCTCGGTAAACAGAAAATGTTTCTGACGGCAAGGTGACGATGAAGATCTTTGATGAAGAAACCAAGTTTGGTAATTATTTCGATGTTATGTATTCTCAAAGCCTTGTTTAACATCCGATATATGAAACGGTCCCTCGTATACCACCATACTGGTGAATATTCTATTAGAAGAAATTCAGAAAGATCGGTAGGATTTTGAAGTTGAAGAAAAAGAATTTGTTTTTTTGTTTCTATTTTTTATTATTTTTATCTTATTAGGAAAACAGTTGTATGTCCAATAATTGATGTATTAACATGGAATGCGTTTGAATTATTGCAAGGTGCCACTGATATTTTTGGTACATTTGGTTGGAAAATGATATTTCGTTGGTCCAAAATTACAAATAAAAATTATGATCATAATGATCATTCGAAACCGGTTCGGTAACTGCAGACTCAGTAAAGAATAGGGAACAAAACGTACGACTTGGATTTTGCCTGAACACACTTTCATTCACTGGGGATTCTGTTATACACACTGCTATTTTTATAAAAGAAAAAGGAGCCTAAACAATTCTAATTACGCTGCCAGAGACGAAGCGTATCTATTGGATAATCTTCACCAATAATATGTGTTTCTTGGCACACTGTTAACAGGCGCACTGAGGGGCATTTAAAGAGTCTTAGACACTGATTTCATCATGTTTTACCCATGGGTAAAACTAAAATCTTGTGAAATGATCCTACTAGCAAGGCGCTGAATTTTATCCAAAATTTCGAGATGAGAAGTAAAAGTGGAATCGTAGATAACACAACCGTATTCGAGCACGGTTATTACACAAATTTTATACAGATGACAACGAAGAAATGAGATCGAGTCACGAAAGACTCATGAGATAGAGCCTAACATTTTACGAGATTTCATTGACACATATTCAATGTGAGCTTTCCACGTTAAATTATATGAAATAATCATACCAAGAGCTTAAGAGACAAAACTCTTTCTATATCAACGTTGTTGATTGAAAGAGTGAGTGCAGGAAGCATTTTAAGAATCAGTTTCTACAGATTCTATGTTTCTTACACAGCTTACAAATTCTTATACGAATCCTACGAAATCAGACGGAATCGTACAAGAGTATTATAAGATCTTACAGCTAGATTCTTTGACCTGAGTTGAAATTTTTCGCATATTTAGTTGTCCGTCGCTATTTGTTCTGAAGATGAAAAATAATTCTCTCTTCTTCCTTTCCTTTTTATTTCCTTTTTCTTAAACCTATCTTTTAAAGCAGCTAAATGACAACGAACGTGATGCGATAAACTTCCTATTGACGCTTCTGGCAGATTCAGATCGGATACAGTCTGTCGACATTATTACGACGCTATTACTCTCGGTTTGCTTTTTTATTTTCGTCTGGGGTCCCATTTTGGGTAAAATATGCACTTCGTGACATTGAGAACTATGAAAGCTAGAAAAGTTCTGGAAAAGGTAGGATATTCTCCCAACACTGGAGATTGATAAATGCATATTTTTCTCTCAAATAAAGGTTCAGGTTTGGTGCCATAAGCGACACGAGTGACAGAAAACTGTATTTTGGACTTGGAAATTTTTCGTATATTTAGTTGTCCACCGCCATTTGTTCTTCAGAGGAACAATAGTTCTCTTTTTTCTTCAAAGTTCGTTTTCATTTCATTTTTCTTAAATCTACCTTTTAAAGCGGCTGAATGACAACGAACGTGATGTGGTAAACTCCCTGTTGACGCTTCCGTTAGATTCAGATCGGATACAGCCTGTCGACGTCGCAACTAGTGCGCAGCGCAATTGCTCAGTTTTTGCTGATATATTTTTCATAGACTACTTACTGTGATACTTTGCCTTGGTATTTCTACTAATTTTATTTCCTCGTATGAATTACTCTCTGTTAATATTGTAGATGCTTCTGGATTGGGTTGGAGCAAAGCGAAAACTTCATCGCCCACAATTTGAGTACTTTCTGGGAAATTTTTACGTAGAACTACTGATGAAATTTCAAACCTCATCTGAGAGAAGCAGAAAAGAGTTTCAGCTTGTTTATGCCCCTGCCGTATTCAATTTGCAATTCAACATTTAGATGTAGAAACAGATAGTATCGATAGAATGAACGACTTAGAATCGCTTTATATATTTTACTTAAGTTTTTTGCAAGAATCTTCTATTGCTCTTCTATTACTAGACACCCATCTTTTGTAGATATATCGACTAGATATACCACTTCTCACGTTACAGATAATTTCCCGTCTTATCAATTAATTTGCACCATCGCAGTTGACTCGAATAACGCAGAGAAAAGTTTCTTCACATATCAATGGATAAAAAATTGATTAGGAAGTAGACTTAGCGACCAAACTGTAATCAACATCATTAAATTTAAAACGAATTGAAGAAGCTATAGAATTTATAGCCAAAGATTTCATTAGCGATTTTGAACGAGTAAAACTATCTCCTTCCAGTATCAAAAACGAACGAGAACGATGAATACGTACGGATATCATCGATGTATTTTCAACTAATACTTAAATTTCAACCGACAGCGTTTAAAAGAAATTTCTTCACTAAATATCTTTAGAGGTATAACTTGTTTTCATTCATGAGCTAGCTGCTAAAACATTTAGTGATTCGTATTTAACATCTAAGTACGATTATATCGATATTTGAATCAAATTTTACAGAAATATCAAATTTATTCATTTTTGTGTACAAACGTCAAAAAAGTATCAAAAGTATAGTACAAAAATAGTTGACAAGCAGAAAAAGAAAGATTGGACAGAATTAGCGTTGCGATTCATATTTTTTGAATTACATAGTGGTAACACCGATAATAATAATAATAATAACCATAATAAACAGGATAACTTAACAAGAAGAACAACAGCAAGAGCCAGAGCAAGCGTAAAAAACGCACAAAAGAAACAATAGACAAAAATATATTTATACAAATGAGACGTTGAGTATAAAAAATTCTATTTTTAACTATCACCACATATATTGCACAAATAAAAGAAAAACAGTCATTGTATGAATTACATAAATGTTTCTAAACCAACATAACTTCGTCCAAGAATATTCAAATCGGTTGCCTGATCAATGATACAATCAATTTGTTCTTCAACACTAAGTTTATGATGTTGATCTTTACTTTTTTCTGCTAACTGAGCACGAATATTTTGATTTATATCGCCACCAGCAATAGCCATCATAGGTTTTAAAAATTTTTTGTAACTTTGTGTTTGATTTAATATTGTCGATATTTTGAGATCATTACTATAAAAAAATTCCCCAAGAAACTTTATGCTTGCTCATAGTCAGTTTGTTCAATGAAATAACGTTCGCGAAAAAGAAAGAAAAATCTTACCAGGTTATTGTCGCCGGATTAATACCATTCAATTTGTTTCGAGCACTATTAATTCGTTCTTTAGCATATAATGTTCCTTGTGCATGCGTAGCAGTATCTGAATAAAATATACAAAATTTGAAGCAACACGTCATCTCATTCATATTCCATTCTTACCACTATCTGACACTTGTTGTCTACTGGATTTTATTGCCAAATCCTATACATAAATGAAACACTGATTTAGCATAAGAAATTGAAGAATGATCAGCTTCTCTATTTGAACATACCACCCAGTCCATTAATGGTTCTTTGATAAATACATCCATTGTACTTAGTAATAAATCTGAATTTTCTCTCAATGCATTCATCGTATGAATCATAGTTGAACGAAACAGGCCACATGTACCAATGGGATTCATTAAATTAACTAGTTGACGAGTCAAACGTATTGGTATTAATTCAGGAACTGGAAGACTCTAAAATTTTAGACAAAAGTGTGAGTAGAAACAACAGCCTGTTATCCACAGACAAAATCCTGTTCCTTTAATTCGGCAAAAAGAAAGAAAGAAGAATCTCATGTCTTACGACTACTATTACTTGTGGTGGGTGCTGATAGTCCCAGTTTCAACAGCCCAATATTTACAGTTGAAATGGTTTACTCAGCTCATTACTAGTCATTAACTCCAACTCTGGCAAGAACACCACTCTGACAATCAATACTCTGAAAACCTGCAAATTCTTACTATTGTTGATGCGTTAAATGCCGAACCAAAATCAATTCCTATCACTTGACCACTTGTTGTATCAATTAAAAAACTAGAAAAAAAATTAAAAATTGTTTTATTATCTCAAAATGCTAATAGAACACTAACTCACTTTGACTGATGTCGATCACCAATACCCAAAATATATTGACTTGTACATAGAACAGCATACGATACAATAAATTGACTTCTCAATGTATAAAATCCTTCATGTGAATTAGCCATTTTATAATAGGCACGTCTTAGTAAATCATACGGAATATACTTTTGTATTTGACGAAAATTTTCTTGAATATCTTCTTTCTTACAATGTATATAAGATTCACCATACACGGAGGTGGCTGTTGATTGTGACGATTTATCTGGTACTTTGCTCCATACTTTTGTAAAGAACTCGTAGTATTTTGCTCTAGGATCAGTAATATTTGTTTGCATTTCTTGACTTTCTTCGTCAGTATACGAACTATCCAGTACATCTTTTAATGTTTTAGTGTTATCTAACCATTCAATTATACCAATTTTTGTGGTCATGGGAATTACTATATGAAAAAAGAGAATAAAATCTTTTATTTATAGTGATACTGATGATATCTAACCTTTATAAGTTCGAACATTAATCTGAGATGAGTAAGATTGATTACAATTAGGATCATTCGAATATAAATCGTTCATTAAATTAAATAAAGCTTGTATACGTTGATCTTGTCGAATATCTTCACCAGCTTTAATTAAAAATGGATAATCATTTTCATCGTGACCACGAATCTAAATTAACCAAAATTAAATCATTTTTAACTACTATTTTCAATTTTTCATTAGCCACATTTGAACTAAGTATAAAGCAATCACTATGCAGATACTTAATGACAAATGAAAACGGTGTAATCTCATCAAACGTAAAATAAAACATATATATTAAAGTACATCAATTGTGAATATAACACTTACTGTTAAACGTTTTGGTTGTCTCAACGAATTAAGTGTTAATATTTTTTCATCAAAACCAACAATTTTAATATGATGTTCTAATATTGGCCGTTTTTTACTTGTATATTGTCCCGGTATTTCAATATCTTTACTCGATTGACCAATATTTACGGTTTGTTGACGAAATGTTGCACTAAACCATGTTGAATATTCACTTAATGTTTCTGAAGTTTTTGTTTTAACATATTTTTCTAAATTTTTAAATAATGCTTGAAATGCTTTATGTACATGATCATATGTTAATGTTAAAAAATTTTCACAATCTTTTCCAAGTATTTTATCAAATTCTTTTTCATAATGTTGTTTTAATTGTTTTCTTAATGATATTTTTTTCGATTGTGTTGTATTCGGTGTGGAAGTTTGCTCACTTTTATCGTCATAAATACTATCTTGGGTAGATATAACAACTGGTTTATCAGCAGATGTTCCCAATAGTTCACTTTCATCTTCATCATCATCTACGCCATCTTGATCATGAAAAACTGTTTGTTTTAATTTAAGAACAAGTTCTTTGAATTTAGGTAAATCACGTTGATCTCGTTCACGTTTTTTTAATATAACTAATATTTCTTTCATATAATCTTGAAATTGTATATGTGGACTATTTAACCGTTCTAATGCCAATATAAAATCATCAATCATTGTTAAACGAGCTAATTTTTGTTTAATTATTTGTAATTGACGTTTCATTTGTTCTGTCATTTTTTGATCTTTTAGTCGTTCATAACTCACTTTGAATGGATAAACAATTGCTTGTGGATATAGTGTAATAATTTGATCAATAACTGGATATAACTTTGATGCAATGGGTTTATCTAAATAGGCTGTTATTTGATATAAACAATCGAAAAACATCCAACATGGTATATCATTTAATTTATTTTCAATTGTAGCCAATGTTGACGGATATAAATCAATAATTTGTAATAAACGAGAAAATCGTTTGATACCCTCGGCTGAACCATATTTCATTGATTTTAAAATAGATGATACAATTAATTTTGGTATTTCATCGGTGGTAAATATTCGAACAATATCAGAATTATCCGGATATTCTTTATTTTCATAACGACGTAAATAATCGTCGCATATACTAGCCAGTTCATTATAATCACGGCCAAGAATAGGTGTTCTATTATCATCGTCAGCTTTGTTGAAACCCTTCTCCATTGTCATAGCCTACAATTAAATATCAATAAGAAAGTTATCACCAAAGAAAATAAAGTTTAGTGGGACGGAGACTAAACCACTAAGTAGTATTTTTTTTCATCCACGTGACAACTTTAAATAAAAACACAGTTCGGTAGCTGTTGAAATTCCCTACAAGTTGAGCTCGTTCCAATTTCTAAGTTGACATGGCCAGGTTACAGTAGGATGTATTTAGTAGCGTATTTAGTATAATCGT